GATATCTAGGTTATGCATAAATTGAGGGGGAATTTTTTAATAATCAAATGTCATCTTTTAAGGGGGAACTCTTTTTAAAAGTCTCAAAATTATCCTCCTATGCATAACCTCGTCTCGTTTGCCATTATCAAAAAGGGGGAAATTGTTGAAACACGGGCTTGTCACGTTTTCGTACTAAAGCCGTGTTCGTTTTTGTAACAGGTTTTGATAATGCCAAACCGCCGTGATCAAGACAAACATTGAACATACAAGGCGAAGAACGAAGATAAAGAAAAAGAGCTAAAAGAGACCAAGAACGAAGACCGCAGCCTTTAGTATTGTTGAGTCGGTCATAATTGTAATCAAGACCGACCCAACCCTCACGCATTGGCTCTTTAGGCTAAAATCTTTTATCACATCATAAAAATGTTTTTCAAACTTTTTTAAGTCATTAAAAACACTTGGTGTTCGCCCAAACCAAAAACCAAGCCATCCAGCGTTCGGGTTTCAGAAATCGGCGTTCGGCTCTCGGTTATCGGCTATGGTTTTTGGCGTCCAAACCAACCGAGTGGTTTTCAACTTTTTATGATTGGTTTTCACTCTTTGGCATGTTTAAACGGTTCTCCAACAAAAACACTTTGAAAACCATCTTTCGCTTTTGGTCGTTTGACAAAAATCATTCAAAACGGCATAAACTTGGCTAGCCGTGGTTTTCACTCAAATGACGTGGTTTTTAAAGTGTCTTACTTTATTTCTTAGCCAAATACATCAAATAAGTTTTTTAAACACTTGGTTTTTATTTTGGAGAACTTTGACTTTTTCGGTCGGGTTTCGCATCGGTTGGCTAGGCCGTGGTTAAGGCAAAAACCATGGGTTCTTGACTAACCACCCACCCAGCGATGGGAAGATCTTCCCATCGATGGGTAAGCGGCCCCTTAGCCAAACCAATTTCCAGAACCATGCCAAACAGCGATGGGGAGTTCTACCCATCGCTGTTAAAGCCTTGGTGCAACATTAACACAAGGCAGAACGACCTTGCCCAGCGATGGGAAACCTATCCCAACGATGGGAACCCAGCGATGGTAAGGATATACCATCGATGGGTAGGCATGACCGTTGGAAGTCATTTAAGGTTGATTCTTTCCTTGTTTGGAAGTCAACCTCTCACCTAGCGATGGGAAGCTTGTACCCATCGATGGGTAGGTGACCGTTGACTTCAAAACTGAAGGAAAATTGGCTTACCAGCGATGGTTGAGTCTAAACATCGATGGGAAGCCAATATTCTGCAGATCCCAAACCTTTTCAATCCCATAAATCAAGCCAATCACCCCTTTAATGCATTGGTCTGTTGGAGCCTATTTTGGCACTATAAAAAGGGGTGTTTGGGTCTGCTTTTCACACCAATTCACTTCACAACATCTATACTTTCATTGCATTCAAATATCATCCTTTTCCATAGCTTTCTAGAGCCATTTTGTGTGAAGGTTGAGTTGTTCTTGAGCGTACTTAGTTTACTCACAATCTACTCTATAAGAGAGTCTCGTTCTTGAGTGTATTCGTGTTTTTAGACACTTTGAGAGAAAGTATTTCTCTCGGTAGATTCAAAGGAAGGGCTGTTTCCTTTGAAGGATTCGTTGAGGTTCGTGTAACTCGAATTCTCAAGTTGTAACGGTTTGTTAAGCACCCGCAAGCTTAACGAGATTGTAGTGTAGCTCGAGAGAGTCTCTCGGGAGGCTGGATTAGCCATAAGTTGTGGTGAACCAGGGTAAAATTCGGTGTGCCTCTTACTCTTCTCTTTACTTCTTTTTAATTTTTTTTTAAATTCCTGCAATTTCTCGATCAAACGCTATTCACCCCCCCTCTAGCGTTGGTCTATTATTCTAACAGTAGACAATTCACTCAGTAATATGGCCTACTTGAATGCAATTTTACCAACTTTACAGCCTATGCTTCATTTGTTCCTTAAATTTGGATATCATTCCGGGTTTCAAGTTTGATCAGCAATTTAGTGATTGGGAGCTTTAGGTTGATGAAGGAAGCCATTTTCCTCTTGGGCTCTAGCTAGCCAGGGTTGCAGCAATTCCCTTCATAGCAGTATAGTTGGGAGCATATGAGAATCTGGTTTTTTTTGGGATGCTGCACTCAAGGACCAGCAGTGCTTGATGGAAATTATTGAGGCTAGAGGAGAGGATGATTTTTGGGTTCCTTAGGCCACAAATATGAATCGGAAGATTAGATAGCAGGGTTGGGTGCATACTTTGATTAGCAAAACAACAAAAACAGGGTTTCTTTGCTGCCACAATCACGTTTCTTCTTTCAACTCATCTTTGTACTCTTTTGTTCTGATTGTTTTGTTTTTGTGCTTTGTTTTGATACTCTGGCCATTTTGTAAGGGATGGGCCACTCCCACCTTGTGTATTTCTCTTTCTTTAATAAATTATCTTTATCAATATATATATATATATATATATATATATATATATATATATATATATATATATATATATATAAA